GGCCACGATGTACGGCTGGTCCGAGGAGGCAAGCCACATTCTCAGCAGCTCCTCCTTCTGCTCAGCTGTGCCTGTATCAGCTGTGTACTGGGAGCAACAGAGTAGCTCGGCTAGCGTAGCAGCATCGTCTTTTGTCCGAACGTATAAGATGATCTTATCTCGAGCCCGATCCAAGAGCTAGCTATTCTCCCACGCGTCCCTTGCCCTCCGCGCGCCCTCTTCGAGCAGACTCCCTCGCCTAGTGGCCCGCTATACCATATAGAACAGATTTCGCCGGTTTGTTGATGCTCGGATTACCTTGGGGCTCACTAAGTTGTTCTGCTCTTCAAACGTAGCTTGTATTGTCGGAGGTAGAGTAGCTGTTAAGTAAACAAACTGCGTACGGACGTTGCGGATCAGGGCAAGGTTAACTATAGCCTGGCGATAGTCGGACGCTGTGATAGTCAAGTGAGCCTCGTTAAACACAATGCGGCCGAGGTCTTGCGTAGCCGCGAGCTTGTGGGCGTAGGTCCGAAACTGTTCCGTACATGTTGCTTCAACTGTAACAAACACCAAGGGTGCATCTCGCTGCTCGCCAAGCGACCACACCAAGTGATCGATCCCTAACTCTCGGACTCGGTGGAGGAGGTCCCCTCGCAGAGACACGAGTGGCAAGACCAAGATCGTCACCCTAGCATCAGGGAGGATACAGGGCAGCATAAACAGCAAGCTCTTCCCTTCGCTAGTAGCCATGATGACTACCACCTGCTTAGTCTATGATATAATAGTAGTTATAGCCCGCTCCTAGGCTGCTGACTTCCACTTTAGCGTGTCATCCAGGTATAGCTTTCTTACACTCTTTAGCAGAGCCGCAGCTGACCACTTCTTCCGTGGCTAGTAGATCCCCATAGCGATCTTCTTGAGCATTTGCGGACCGCTAATATCTTTACCATCCCGCTTCCTCTTCCTAGCTAGTCTAAGCAGCTGATCAAGCCCCCACAAGTCCTTCCACAGAGTTGAAGCACGCAGATTCCGACGGATAAGGCCATCCCACACGTTCCCAAAGTTAGCATTGTGCTAGTTTGCATATGCCCGGTTGACAGTCCGCGTACTATAGTTCCGCTGCTTGGTCATAACCCGAATGTTAGCCTCAATCTCTTCGGCATCCTCGTTGTTAGCCCCGTTGTCAACCTCAAAGCACCCAATGTCAGCTGCAAACTTAGTTTTAACGATATTAACCGTTATCTGCCGCCAGTTGGTAATGTGTAGCCGGGGGATGCTAGCCCGACTACACGCCTGCTCCATGCACCACGTGAGCCGGTTGTTAGCCCAGACCTTGCCGTCTTGCCACCACAAGTACGGAGAGATAATAGCATGCGGGGCAGACCGGCGGAGGAAGACCTAGAGGAGCGGGATGACAACCACCAAGTAGTCTAGCAAGAGGTCTCCAACAAGTGCAGGCAAGAACCGGATATTATCCTTAAACTTGCCCGTCTGCTGCTGACCTTTGTGGTATGTGGTGTGCAGCATGACTAGCCCGTGCTTGAGGTAGACGTTTCGCCGCCGCTGGGTGTTACGCCAGGTGACGGAGAACAGTTCACTCTCGCGCAGAGGCTGGCCAGAACCCATATGGATCAAGACTAAGAGCCTTTTCAGGAACTCGTTAGCCACGGCCTCATACCGTTCAATCGCCTTCCCCCGCCAGACCTTAGCGCCATCCGCAGTGGCATCCAGGAACGAGTCCCGCAACGGCTT